TAAATACAGGGTGTAAACGTTATGGTAGTCATTATTTAAATGGGTAATAGGGGGGGTCAATACAAGTCAAAAAGTTCATATGACCCATGGTCCAATTGATTTTTATCTAAATGGATTTATAATTTACAACTTTAAGGGCTTTATATCGACCACAATCTTACTAATTTTTATAATTTAATGTATCGAAATTGTGTTCCCTATTTATAAGTGGATCTTTTTAATACGTTCAATAAACTTTCACACACCAGGTGAAGCGCTGAGACAGTTAGTGGTAAGTCTGCCGTTTTCTATAATTGTTTGCATTTCACGAGTACATTATCAAATAATGAAATAGTACCTAAGAGCCAAAAATAACAAACTCCATCTTTATCTACACTGCGTTCGGTCGTAATTTGAGTCTGGCATTGCGGCGTTGTCTGATTTTAATTTACTTTAGAGTCGCTTTTCTCTAAAAAAAATGCCGTTTTGACCCCCATGTTATATGAAGCTTTTTGTTGCTTTTAACCCCTCTATCACTCCGTTTAAATAATGACTATGATAACGTTTACACCCTGTATAAAAGCGTTTGAAGGTTTTAGAGAGAAATCTGTACCGATTTGGTGAAGCCATTAAGTGCTGAACATTTAATTCCATTTTTTAACACAGAAGAAAAAAGATCTCAGCATATAACGTGAAAGCCACTTACGAGGTACATCACACTTAAAAGTTTTGAACAATCACAACACGCTAAAATCAGTATTTAGAACATCATCAGTTTTGTAAAAAGCATTTTGGCTCAAAAAACTCTAATACAAATAATACAAATCTTAAAATCATTTAAAGGCAGTGATCTTACATGTAGTGACAATCTGTTAAACAATTTCATTGCCCACAACTCCGGATCATCTTGACATCTTCTCAGACGCCAATACAGGGTGTCCGCAAAGTTGGGGTTTTCCTTTTCAGAAACAACTACCTTTGAAATAACAAAGGTAATGTGTAGTGAAACGAGGGCGACTAAGTAAAAAAAAATAAAGGAAAAAGTACTCACTCTCCAGTTGACGAGAAGGGCTAAGTACGTCTCTACCCCAAATCATACCGTTCCAACAGAAAATGAAATCAGCTGATGCGCTACCGAGCAGACGCACCATGCCAGCCCAAACATTCACCGAAAATGTTTGTTGAAAATGTGTCCGACGGACAGCGTGCGGATTTTCTACTGACCAAACATGAGCGTTGCGAAAGTTATTCACCCCATTACGCGTGAACGTAGATTCGTCTGTCACCAATATGCACTTCAAAAAGTCCGGATTATTGTCATGTTGATCCAACAACTTCTCACAAAACCGCACTCTTGCTGGAAAATCGTCAGGTTGAAGGGCTTGTACACGTTGGACGTGAAACGGATACAGCCCCTCTTCACGCAGCTTTTGCCACACTTTAGTTTTTGATACTTGCACTTCTCTAGCCACGTCTCTAGTGCTTGTTGAGGGATTCTCGTCTACGCGATTACCTCTACACGCGTGACCGTAACCGTCGGTTGAAGGTTGCATACTGACCTGACACACTGACCCCGACCCAGTTCTGTCGTCGGGTTGAGCCAGTGACCTCGTACCACTAGATGATGTCGAGGGGTGGCGGCTACAGGACGGTATTCAGATATTTTTGATGTTGCAGAACCCTTTATCTCGGTTCCCTTAAGATATTGGTGTATATGGTACTAAGAAAAATTGTTTATGTTTTCAAGATCTACACGTCGTGTAAAGGAAAACCCCAACTTTGCGGACACCCTGTATATTGGGATGAAATATCTGCTATTTATGGTATAGTCTCGAACATTTCCGAAGGTTCGGTATAGATTTCCTTTTGTCTGAGCAAACCTCAAACACTCAGCAGTCTCCATTCAATAAGCACGTGCTTCATGCATCTATGTATATCACACCATCAATCTCTACTGTTTGATATCTCTCTTGCAGATAGTACTCTACCAGTACCAATGCAATGCTAATGGATGAAATCAAGCTAATTATCTTGGAAGAATGTCGTTATTGAGGTAATCGAAGACTTTACTCAGGTCACATAACAGATCAGAACTGTACTGCCTTGAGTGAAAAGAAGAACATACCGGTATATCATGACAAGGTGATCTTCAGATAACGAAAGGATACATCAGTTTGTAATCATAGTTCGAGGAATCTGACTTGGGGGTATAAAATACTATAAGGAACCAAAACTAACAATAGATAAGACAGTAGCACAAGAAGCATTGGAACTTGGTGACTAGATGCAAACAGTGGAAACAAAACGGTAGCCCAGGGCTCAGCAAAAATTCACTCTTAGTAGGACACAATGGTCTGTATGAGGGAGATGCCAACTGCAAACAGATCATAGAAGACAGCAACTCTAGGAAACCTAAACTAGGGCCAACGTATTTGTTTACGCAGGGTAACTGCTGGGTTATGTACTCTAAACTACGAACAGCGAGGTAAAGGAAGCCTTAAAGGCGGGAGCTTCGATTGGACACTATGTTGCGGCGATTATTTCCGCGGCCTCTCAATCAATTTTCAAAAGCTTCGACTACATAAACGATGAAAGTATCAAGCTCGCGATGATAATCGAACTTCGGTTCAAAAGTTTTATGTTGCTTAAAGATATCTGCATTACACAAGTCCGAGTTTCTCATTTATATCCGTGTCTGTTGCATATCGATGTCTCATAAGTACTGAGTCACACTACTTGACGAAATATTCAGAGAACCATCATAGCGTAACACAAATTAAAGGTAAGGCGACATGGGTTGTACATTTGGGGATCATGAATTTCAAAAAAGTATATGTGTAGATATGAAAACAGTTAAGTCATCATTCACAGAAGCATCGCTGAGTGGTTGCAAAAATATATAAATATTTCTCCTGTAGCGGTGTGTCAATGACGACACCACCGCAGGCCGGTCGAAGTTTCTTACTCAATGCACAGTCGGCAGTGACCTCCACGACGACACAGCATTTCACTGTTGTTACAATTCCCTACAACCCCAAGTTTTAACTCCTACTACAAAATTTCCGAAAATAGTCAGGGACCTCTGAAACGCCAAAAAAAGTTTATTATAAAGTGCGAAAAAACAGCGTAGTGCTCACTAGCTTCTCGCTCAGAAGCTGTAGAACCACTTTGTGATGCTAAATACATAGTTTTACAAATTATTTTCCACGCTTTTCTACTAAAACTGCAACATGAGCCGATAAACAGATTTAAAACATTTGACGAGGAGTAAATTCAATAGGTGGTTGTACAATTAGCTGGGAGACCGACAGATTGATAGACAGACCGATCGAAATGGGTGAGATGATAAATAACATCAAAAAACCTGATATCACAATTTCAAAAATTTTCACGATTACAATGCTTCCTTGCCAGTTTTGGCCTAGAAAGTAAAATGGATCCCAAAATTCTAAAATATGTTCGATGATATCTGTTAAGCTAGTAGTGTGGTCCTTCTTATTTTCTCCATCAAATTGAAAGTTTACGTGAAAAACGCGCTACCAATTTCGGAGAAATGAACAGCTTATGTAACTAATTTAACAAACGACAAAAAAGTACGTTTGGTACTTCTTTTGTGGAATGTTTAATATTTTTACTTTGATGTTTGTTAATCAGCGACCAAGTCACTGGAGCATACGCGATAAACGTAGACCAAGCATGAACATTAAGGTTTTTTAGCTATATATAGAGTGGTCCACTGTGTTGTCAATATAAGTATTGAATCAGTACAAGTTATATAACTACAATAGAAGGCAGATATGGTGAAATAATAAATTTATTGTTATGAAAATGGAAAGTCTGAGTGTTCAGATAATGTATTTAAGCAGTCGTCTCTATTTTCAAGTCTAAAAAACTTCAGATTAACGTTAATTTCTGCGTTAAAAATGCACCGTCTATATCTCCTGAAGCATCCAGATAATCTGGAAACTTTTCTGCTTTTTCGTGGATCGCAAACATTTTTTAAGTCAGATAATCTCCTATTTGGACGCTTTAACTGAAATACATGTCCACATTTCGCCTTATTCCAAGCAAATGCTAATGGTTTATAAACTGAAGGAGTTGACTTCAAATGAGTAAAGATTTTGAAAACTGACAATCTTCCATTATGCAGTGCCGTAGCTTGCTTCTGACGTGCCCCAGATCAAAATTTTTTGGGGGGCCTCACCTAATTTTAAACTTTTTAATTATATAACACGAATAAATGTTTAAAATGTTTAAATAGCGGCGGTATTATGAGCAAAAAACAAAACAACTTTACATCATTGCTAAAGTTTGTTTCTATAAGCTTTTCAACCATCTAAACATTTTTAGCCGGTATGAAAAGATTTTAAAATTTTCGAAAACTTGCTTTATTAAGTATTTCTTCAGACTATAACCCGGTCATTATAGAGCTTAAGCATTTTGAGGCTTCTTCTTGACTTACGGAAAATCTGAAAATGGGCATATATGAATGCGTAAGAAGGTCAATCTACTTGACGCTATTTTTCCATAAACTTTTTTTTAATCCGTCCGTGGCTTGTAGAGGCCCAAAGATAATTTAAATATGTTTAATTTGTAATTTGGAGGGTCAAAAATAGGAACGATGCTACTGTCACCTAGTCATACGATCTACGGCTTGAGGATTTATAGTTTGGCTTTCAGCCTAATAACTTGTATGATATTTATGGGTACCAGTTTAGGCATATGATCTTTCACGGATTGGGGACCCTGTAAGCTGGGAACCCCGTAACATTAATAGAGCGGTTGTTACGTCCCTACCCCTCAGGCTCCTGAGGTGTCAAGTTCTGAAACAGAAACGCCCTGTCTAGGTTCCATACAGCGGTTAATGCAAAAGTAAGTGAAGCATTATTATTATGTTTTCTAAGTAATATTTGAACGTTACCATTTACTAAAACTACATATTAACTTTGTCTCATTTTAATTAAACGTATCAAATATACAATTCCAAATATATTCGTAATTATACAATAAATTATATATGGGTTCTATTTAAAAATATATATAACAAAATCATTATGTGACTACTAAACCTCTTTGGATAAACGTTGTATAAAAATACTGTTACAATTTTAACAACAAATATTTTTCTTCATTTGTGAAAAGTATTTGTGGTTCACCACTATTGATAACGCAATAGATATAATATACATACATGTTGCATACAAAAATTAAAAAATGTATCTATGTTGTAAGTTCCTTAAGGTAAAGGTTACACATGGTTTTCAGCTTCCCAGAAATAACCTCTTTTGGAAGTACAAAAGTATTTCTAGTGCAGAATTAAAAAATGAACCGAAAAAAGCTTATACTACATTTCAAGCTCGAGAAGCTTTGAAACCACTATCATTGTTTGTATCTAGCAGATCTAAAATCGACAAAGCTGTTGAACTGTTGAATAAGAGAAAGACTGACACAGCATAGTGGACCATTGCAGAATTGTTTAAATGATTCATTCCACTTTTTTAATCGATCAAAAATGTATTGCCTCAGATTACACGCTGGTTTAGATAATTAAACAGTTCTCACAGTACGCTGAGAATCAGTGAGTGCAATTTTACACTGTTCAAAGAAACAAGCTTAATAATGTAATCTCTACAAATTAAAACGTAGGCTATCAATTACACAAATACGTATTATAGAATTATAGTTTGAAAACTGAATAAACTAAATGAATGCAAATCCTGATAAACAAGTCTGTCTCTGTAAGTATATTTTATGGTGTACCTAAAAATGAGATGAAGAATTACTTGTTGTTTAGGACTTAAGATCTAGAATCGGCTTCTCAATCATTACGTTTGTTTTTCTGTAATTATGATTCAGTTTAATGAATGGTGGATCAAAGCTTCCTTAGGATGATGGATGTGGAACTGCTACCATTAGCATCTCTCAGATCATCCTTTAACTTAGACATTCGCTGTACACAGTTTTACAAATTCACAAAAATAGTTAAATCTAAAACTATATCAGACATTTATTTTTCACTGGTGGTGAACATTTAACAATTCCTTTTTGAATTTTAACGCAGGAAAGTATTACCTTTATTAGTAATTTTATGATACGTATCACTTGTTTTAATTCTGCTTCTTTATCTTTTCTTTCCTGCGTTAAAAATCGTTCAAGAAACATATTATCTCAAATCACATCTCAAAAAACATTTTTACCACAGTAGACATAATATTCACACAGCAATACTCGTCAAATCACCATTTATTACAGGAAGTAGGATCATCTAGTCTTTGGCATTACGTTCTTTTCAAGTTCGACATCAGTCTGCTTTATGTTGGTTCGCAATAGTACCATCATAATTATCTTCATATTTTATCCTTTCAATATTACTTATATATTATAATATACGTACAGGTATATCTAAGTGTTCATCCATTATATCCGGACAACAAGTTAACAATGTTAAATCGTGAATACCATATCAACAAATTCGGTAAAAATGTTTCTTGTTACACTAGACTGATCACCACCGTCTCCCTTACGTCATGCTCTGTCGGTAAAGCGTGTTATGCTTCTTTTCATTTTATTTACCAACCCTACAACTAAGTCCCCCTGTTTTCGTTCCAAGGCTTTTTCCTTTCTTTAATTTCCGGTTTACGCTTTCATGTAGTCGTTCACTCTAAGTGCGCGCACAATACTAACAAGGAATACATAAACAGAAATATTTTCTTCAAACTTATCGATGATATTTGTTTTTCAATGTGTACAGTATATTTCCAAGGTGGAAAGTCTAGTAAAAAATAGAATGAAAAGTTCCTGTAAAAGTTTTAACAGGGGCCGTAAAGTACTTTCGGGATAAATTAAAAGCGTTGTTTTAAGTAACTTTATGGCGATACACAGAGAGACCATACCCACTTGTTTGCTTCCCTTTCATCTGTTTCCAAAACTCGACCTATACCGTACTGACGAGTTTCTTATAAGCACGAAACAGCGGTGTCTGCTGTCTGCATCGCTACTTTCCCAAATACTTTAGGAGGTACCTTTACAATATTAAATGCGTTGCTCAAATATGAGAAAGATATTTTGAAATATGGCTTGAAAAGTATATTATTTTTTCTGTAGGGATTGCAGTAAGTCAGTTGTCATATTTTATGTAATGAATTTAGAAACTGCTTAGAGTCATGTGTAAACGCTTTCGATATAATTTAGTCTTCTCTTTGTGAATTAAAACAATTTCAACATGCTGTATCAGGTTTTCTAGGACTGCAATTAATCGGATTTTCTGAGTTATGATTGGACGTACTTAGTGCTAGTGTATGTTGTGTTTGACTCTGTTAATACTTGGAGTTTTTTCTAGAAGATTTTTTATCGAGCTATCCCGATAATCTGACATTATAAAAGCTCTGTAAAATTTATTCGAAGTAACAAAATCATCTGGCTCGACTGCCTGACTTGTAAAAGCGTTGCGGAAACTTTCATTATACTTTACACTGAAAACCCCTCTGCGCAATGTTGCACGCGATTGTCAGGCGGCGGATACCGACAGCAATACGTGGCAACAACGCCTGCGGCCGCGAGAGCCAATGACAGCGCCGCGACGCCGCAGACGGCACCGGAAGTCACGTCCGCCAATGGTGTTCCAGGACGTGGTCGCTGCGTAAGGAGTACCAACAGGCCGGTACTTGTCAGTAAGCTGAAGACACTCAGCAACAGGTAACCTGGAGGAACATAACGGTTTAATCAACAATTCGTTTTTTGTGTACAGGCAATTTTGTACCAACAAATGGTCTAATTTCAAGCATTGGTTACTTTAAGGAGATGCTGCCAAGATACTTGGCAACCATGTCAGGTTCACTGGCGATTGGTCGAATACTCAATTTGAGGTTAGGAAAAATTTGAATTTCAATCAGGCATTTCTCTCAAAACTTGGGAGTTGTCGCCCAGCTATTTAACTATTATGGCCTCTACATGACATATTATACGACTTTAGTAGCAACAATAGGAAAAATTCAGCTTGAAATTCAAATTTTTCGGATCTTTTCATCGGCCTTTTCAGGCGAGGAAACAAAAAAAAGTCCGGGGGGCCACATCTGGGCTGTAGGGCAGCTACGGAAGCGTTGGGATGCCGGCCTTGGTCAGGTAGCTGTTCACAAGAAAGGCGGTGTGAGCCGGGGCGTTGTCGTGGTGCAACTTCCAGTCGGATGCGATGTCTTGTCGGACCCGACTGACCCTTCGTTTGAGTCTCTTGAGCACTTCCACGTAAAACTTGACGTTGATGGTTTGTCCAGGAGGAACAAATTCATGGTGGACGATGCCTTTGATGTCAAAAAAGACAATGAGCAACGTTTTCACTTTGGATTTGCTCATTCTTCCCTTTTTTGGGCGAGGAGACGCCGTCGTGTGCCACTCGGAAGATTGCCTCTTTGTCTCGGGATCATACTCAAAGATCCACGACTCGTCACCTGTGATTACGTTATTCAAGAATTGCGGGTCACTTTCACACATGTTTAAATTTTCTTGGCACACTTCCACTCGCCGCAATTTCTGGTCGTCAGTGAGCACTTTTGGGGCCATCTTCGCGCATACCTTGCGCATGTTCAAATGCTGTGTCACAATGTCATGAACCACAGATTTTGGTAAATTTAACATCTGGGCTATTAAACGAATACTTAGTCGACGGTCTGAGTTCAAAACTTTGTGCACACGAGTCACATTATCGGTGTTTGTCGAAGTTGAAGGTATTTCAGCACGGTCTTCATCAGCAACCTCTTTCCGGCCCTCCAAAAAGACCTGGTGCCACCGAAACACACCACTTCTTGCTAAAGCAACACCTGGGTAAGCCTGCTTGATCATATCAAACGTCTCTGTCGCAGATTTACCAAGTTTCACACAGCACCTCTGCTCTAACGAACGCTGCATTTTGGGCTTGCACCACTCACAGAAACCCGTCGCCGCGAAAATGCCTGTCCTGACTCTCCAAGTGCTCGGAGACAACGGACCAGCCGCTCATTCGTTAGCTAGGAACGCCCTCTACCGAATCCAGTCGGTGCGCGCATGCTCCGAAGTACAGTCATGGCGGAAGAAAATGAGTCTTATTACTTTCAAGACTAACCCTGTATGTAGTGCACAATGTTGTTTTCTTATGTGGAATATTCATTTTGGAGGCTAAACGGTATTTAGCCTTTGTTTATGTGACATAGGCCATACACTCATAGAAATGTTATGGAAATAAAAAATGCAAATTCATGCAAGGAATTCCTTAGAATAACAAGGTTGGAAATATTTAAAGACATAATTAATAGACTTTCATTTGCTAACGCATCTGGTAAAGTTCATCTAAATCTGGCGACTGAATAATTCAAAAGAATGATCGTTAGATCATACCTGACGTTTTATGAAGTGAATATCAAAACTTGGAGAATACTTTTCAATAAATATGCATACCGACCAACAGCATTGCTTGGTCTGAAATTAGTGCAATTAATAATAATAATCCCTAAATCTTTCAACCTGACAACATCGCAAACCGCGACCCGGTGCTTACATCACGGAATCTAAGGTCATTTAACCGCATTAAGAATTCAAACTTGTATTATTTATCGTTTAACTCCGCCAAAAAATCATTGTTGCACCGCATTGCTGAGGCCAACTTCAAGCTAAGCCGAACCTGAACTTCCATGTTTTTGTTGCACCAGATACACTCAAAACTTGAGCGGAACTGAAACAGAGAGTTGAGCTAAAAATGTCTCTGCTTAAGATAAAGTTTCTAACCTAAGTTGTCAACTTGCGAGTTTGACATTTTTATGATTCGACCTACTGACCACTGTCTGTCAAATTCTTGGTAAATTAATAATTGTGATTATGAATTTGAGGTTGACCTCACCTTCGCTAAGTATTAGGAACGGAGTCCAATAATCATGAAATGAAATTTGGGCTCATTTCATAACATTCCTCTCTAGTATGATAATGGAAATAAAAAGTAGCGTGTTTGGCATTTTCAACTAACCTGATATGTAGTTTCTATTCGGCAACCAATAGACATTCCTCGATCTATACCCCAGCAGCCCCAGTGTAAAACACGTAAATCCAGCTATAACTCCAAAATCTAGAAAGTACTGCCTTCCCATCACAGAAATCATATAAAAACACAGCCCTGAAGTCACAGCTCCACATAGGAACATCATTGTTGCAGCCACTGTCAGCGTGGCCTGAACAGGAGCCTTTTTGAGGCTCACATTCATCCAGGAACCCGATTTTGAAAATGTCGTTTCGCTATAAACACTCTGTATAGGGCTGGAACATATTGGAGCTACCACTGCTGTTGTTCTTTTGTCAGGTACCATCTGTCTTGTACCCAGAGCGTAATTGAGCTTCTGTTGAGCTTTTGGAGGCGTTCTTTGTGGAGTCTTGGTTTGAAAAGGCTCCTTTGGAATGGGAGATAATGGAGGTAAGAGTTTTCGTTGCGATCTAGGTGACATCACCGAGCTGGGAGTAGCTTTTCTTGGTGTAGTGAGAAGTTCGTGAAGTTTTTGGGTTGCAGCGGGATTGCCGACTCTTGGTGACGACTGTTGGATATACTCGTATCTGTTTTGAGATCGTGGGGGCAAGTTTTGTATGTATTCGTACCTGGAAGGAATAAGAATTTCATTGATTAGATCAAAGGAAGGAAATCAATTGGTATTATTCGGGAAAAATGAGAAAGCAATGTCACACTTCCGATTTCCTTATTCCAAGGTATTGCATACAACTGGAAAGCTGCTTTTTTCGGAGATATAACAATGGATCACAGGATGTTATAGTGAGTTATCAGGAACATTTAAGGGCATGTAAAAATGTTAAAAAAAGATATACGCAAACATGGGTTCGGAAACTTTATGTTTAGCGGTGAAATGTGTATATTTTCCAAAAATGCAGGGTGTTTCAGTTTATTGTTGCATACCTTTAAGATTCGATAGAACTTTTAAAATTAATGCATAAAGTCTATATAAACATGGGTCGAAAAATGCGTGGCTTCCGAAATACAGGGTGTTTAAATTTACCTTCTAAAATAGTTTTTTTTTTAAATATTTCTAACAATATTAAACAGTGAAAATTAGTATACAAGGGTTTTTTGGTACGGCAAAACGAACCATGGGCATAGTTTTACTGTAGCCGCTAGAGGGCGCCCTCTACTGTACCTGCAGTGTATTAAAATGACCGAAAAATTTTACTTAGTGCAATTTTTTGCTTTTTGAATAAAAAAACTGATTCTTCGCACTTTTCAACATAAAAAAGCTTTCTTGTGAATTTTCGTTATAGTTAGCCATTTTTGAGATATTTCGATTTTTAAGGTTCGATGCATTTTTAATTATTTATGATAAAATAACGTTAAAAAGTCAGTATCTCGATAATTTTTAGAAGTAGGCTGTGCCTGCAAATATTTTTGAAATTGAAAGCAGAATAAGGTTAAACGTCACTTAGTTGACAGTTAGTTTTGCTGTCTGTTGAAACCTGAAACGTTTTTTTGCAATTGTGAATGCACGAAATTTAGTTTCTTTTACCTGTTTTTTTTTGTAAGTTTTATAAAAATGCCATTTTTATTCTCCTATCAAGAGTTAGCGTATATTCATTTTGTGTAAATGGAAACGCAGCAGAAGCAGCCAGAGAATACGCACGAAGATTTCCAAACAGACGACATCCAACTCGCTCAGTATTTGTAAGAGTGCATCGCCAAATAATTGAAAATGGTTTTGGAAATCTCAAAACATAAATGTTCGTCAGCGCAGATTTACCCGTATGATTCTGCGTGAGTTTGATAGAGATCCGACCACAAGTGTTAGGAGAGTTTCTGGTGCCTTGGGAATTTCAGCAAGCCATGTTCACCGTGTTCTTAGAAATGACCATAGACGTCCTTACCATTTGCAACCTGTGCAAGGACTACAGCCAGGGGACGGAGAACGAAGAATCACATTTTGTCAGTGGATTCTTGATAGAATGATAATAATAGGGAGTTTTTAAGTAACGTTTTATGGACCGATGAGTCATGCTTCACTAGACGTAGAGTAGTAAATTTTCATAATCAACATATTTGGTCGCATGAAAATCCGCATGCAGTTCGGGAAAGAAATTTTCAGCATGAATTTAGTGTGAACGTGTGGATTGGAATCTACCGTAATCGACTATTTGGACCCTACCTTTTGCCTGCAAGGTTAAATGCTGCGACCTTCTGGAATTTTTAAAGGCTGAACTTGCAAATATGTGGGATGATCTTATGTTAGATTTAAGAAGATTGGCCTGGTTCCAGTTTGATCATGAATCTAAAAGAAAAAGTGTACCAGACTCCCGTAACCACAAGAGATATGCTAATAGACAGAATCAGGAATGCATGTGATGAAATAAGGCCTTATTTGAATAATGCTATCGATCATTCGTAGATGTGAATTGTGTATTGAACAATTGGGTTTACATTTCGAGCAACTACTTTAGATTTTGTATGTTTGTCCTAACTATCCAAATGCATTTTAGTTGTAAATAATTAATTTAATTTGTTAAAAATAATATTGGAAAATTAAACAAATTAATATTCTGTTTTTTTGTGTTTATTTGGAGTTAGGGATTATTGCTGAGTTTAAAAACACAATCTAAACGATCATCTTAATTACTTGTAATGCCCAAATCGAAAATGTAAAAAAAAAACATTATTTTCCCATAAATAATTAAAAATACATCGAACCTTAAAAATCGAAGTATCTCAAAAACGGTTAACTATAACGAAAACTCACAGGAAAGCTTTTTTATGTTGAAAAGTGCGAAGAATCTGTTTTTTTATTCAAAAAGTAAAAAATTGCACTAAGAAAAATTTTCGGTCATTTTAATACACTACAGGTACAGTAGAGAGCGCCCTCTAGCGGCTACAGTAAAACTATGCCCATGGTTCGTTTTGTCGAACCTAAAAACCCTTGTATACCAATTTTCACTGTTATACATCAAATATTGTTCGAAATATTTAAAAAAAAAACTATTTTAGAAAGAAAATTTAAACACCCTGTATTTCGGAAGCCACGCATTTTCGACCCATGTTTATATAGACTTTATGCATTAATTTTAAAAGTTTCATCGAATCTAAAGTTATGCAACAATAAACTGAAACACCCTGTATATGTAGTTTCCTCTGGTCCACATTAATACTGACTGAAAAGCGTCTTTTGAAGAGTTTCCTTCTGTTCAGTCTGGCTTTAACATACTAACTCTATTTCTTCCCGTAATCAGTGGCATATTATGTTTTCGCTAAGCATATGAGACCTGTAAATTAAGTGATCAGACTGGCAACGTAGCACTCAATCTGGCAATACTGGAGGTGCCGGGCTTGGAGGGGTGACAGGGGAACATGTGATCCGCTTATGGTATGCTGTGAAACATGAAACATCGAGTCACAAGTAGAATACTTCTTCACATATTAGCGTATAAAATGTAAAGATAATTACTTACCGATTGGGGCTTTGAGGAGGTTGTTGGTCCTGAATGTACTCATACCTCCCACCACTAGCCTGACTAACCACTAGTCGTTGAGAAAGCTGATCCACAGGCACTAAAGCATATCTCTGGTTCTTTCCAGTCAACTCGGTCTCTTCTTCCGGTTCAATCACGGCGTACGTATGCACTCTTCCTGATGAAACTTCCCCATGTTCCTCACGATATTGGAGTTTCTTCGAAGTTGCTCTTTGGACGATTGTTCTGCTGTCTTGTTCTTGCATCGGGATATACTCGTACCTAATGATGAATGGTTTTAGCATAAGTCCAGATGATTTTTTAGATATGTGGCTCGTTTATCAAAGCCAATAACCTATGGATATTGGAGTTACATGCCTTCTACAACAGACAGCAGTGTCAGAAACTAGGAGCTGATGTACAGTTTTATATGAAACGCTTTAGTAATAAAATTGAGACTATAAGCGAATAACTTCAATCAAAAGTCACCTTAATCTAAATCCAAATTACTCATAATCATAAGCTTCTGTGTAAAGTTTTTGTCCTTGAGACTTTTGAAAAAGTTGTGTCACCTATTGTTAATACAACATGTACCAGTCGACAGAGAAGAAGACGCCAAGTCTGCACTTTCGTCACCGCGAACCTTTCTTATCTGTTTCATCATTATATTACATTTGTTATTTCCTTTGCATAACGTACTTTTATTTAGTCTAGATTCAGAACTCAAACCCTGAACATCTCATTGTACCCGCTTTTCTCAAATCAAAATCATTAAAAACTTTTTCAAAAGGAAAAGTTACATAAGTTATATGCATATTTCCAAAATTTCTCTTCAATGTACACTTTCCCATTTATTTCTTGAGCAGCTTGACGTTGCGGATGATAAAGTTGATACATGAATAATGTATTTTGTCATAAAAGGCATAGCTAAAGGTTTCAAGGTGACCAGTCACTGCTGATTCTGAACGCGCTCGTGGCGTACTAACAACTGCTTCTCTATTTACTTTATCTACCTAAAAATGGTTGGTCTCATAGATGGCACTCTAGTAAATTATGTGAGCATATACCAGCGTACTGGCAACGGCATCTATGAAACACTAACCTTGAAGTGTATATAGTAAACAAAGAAACAGCAGATTTTCATAGATGACTCTACAGTGTCTCATTTTATCCTGGGCAATAATTTTTGGGACGCAGGAATTTAGCATTATGTTGGCTAGTTGATCAATGTTAAAATATACCGTTGGCTTTGGCTTCTTTGAAGTTTCACCTGTTGCGTCTGAGGTACTCCGTACCTACTGCCTTTTCTTTCTTCCATGGAGACTTGATAGAGACTCCCATACCTAACTTCGTTTCGTGTCAATTTCCTTTCGGATTGAGCAATTTGGTACCGGCTACCATAACTTTCTTCAATCTGCATCATCTTCTTTTCTTCCTGGGGCATTTGATACCTGCTTCCATATCTGTCGTCGTTGTGTGGGAGTTGGATGTATTTCTTGCCTAGGGAACATCATGCAGTTGCTTAACGATTTGCTTAAGTCTGAGTCTTTCTTAACATCCGTTAATATGTGAAATAGTAAATAGTATCAAGAAGACTGATTCGGTATGAGATCGTTTGTTCAAAATCGGCGATAAAAAATGGTATATGATTACCATCGTTGATATACTATTCAAACCAAAAAATGAGGCCTGCCTCTATGTAACATTTCTTGCTTCAAAAAAAAACAAATGTTTATTACGGCCAAGATATTCCAAGGTTTAAAACATATAAATGAGATTTGGGTAAAATTCAAACTTATGGGAATTTTTCTCTATGCTGCACTGCCAGTACACCGATTTTCAAAAATACTTCAATACTATTATAAAAGTACTACTTCAAATGTTTTAAACTACCGTAGATATCTTGAAGCTAGTTTGATTCTGCTTTAAAAGTTTCTTGCGAGCTTTTCTTGTTCGCTAAAAATTGCTAAGCTGCTACTTTTAATAAACATACTGATCGATGTACAGCTTAAAAAAATAATTCTTATGGTGCGTCTAAACCGAAAACGCCAAGAAGGTATTTTTTAGTATAATCAATCTGGTTTTGAGAATGTTTTTCAAAAACCAGCGGCGTATTCTTATTGGCTAAACATAATGATTTACCGAGATTGAGGTAAATGCTTTGGATAACCAATCCGGATCTACCTTTACATCATTCTGATATGCGATATCTACTTTTCAATTCCTCTGTCAACATTCTCTAACAAACTTTAGAATACATTAAAATATCTTGTGCAAAGCGCTTTAGTTGAAAAATCCCTGTTTCTAATGAGGAAACTTTATTTACAGCGGAGAAAGCTTTTGTAGGTAAAGTTCGACATTATTTCGTTATTTTTCCCCGGAGTGTGAGGGCCTCCAAAAGGTCGTCATACTCACAAAAGCTGGCGGTAATGTTTGCGGCATTTCGTCATGTCGGGTAGTGAGCGGATTGGACAATGTTGTTTTAAACGTGAAAGCTCAAAGAACAATGCGTTTGCGTACCAGACAAATATTTAAAACGTAATGGATAAAATAAAAACTTGGCATAAAGTAGGTTCATTACCGTTTACATATTTCCAATCTGAAGAAAATATTTTTAAATTTTCTGTTCATTTTATAAACAGGTAAATAAAAGCTTCATTACGAAAATTTATTTTTTTATTTTATTTTTTTACTTTTTGGTATTTATATCAAATAACCAGTTAGGAAACTTCTATATACGAGTACGAGCCCCTTCCCAGTTCAGTTGGCCCACTTCAAGATTTGTACCAAAATATGCCTTTATAAACTAAACTATTTACTGCTAAAACAATTTATTTTCTCAAAAATATTTTAGATACACTCTAGTCGTAAAAAAATACATATTTGAAATCACTTAGATCTATAACTAATAGAACATCTGAATAAATAAACAATGTGCGAATAAATGCGCGAAGTTAACAAAGCAACAATTCAAAGATTACCATTGGGTAACCTTTATTTTTTATTCCGGTTGAAAATTTTTGGGGCATAGTGTTAACCAAGTTTTGGCAAAAATTTGGTGTAAAACAATCCCATATTTCTTGAAGCTTTTGTCTCAGTTCGGTGATTGTACGAGCAGGATGTTGTCGTAGAACCTTTTTCATCTCGTGCCACAAAGCTTCAATAGGTGACAGATCTGGACTGCTAGAAACCCATTTCAAAAGTGGTACATTATTTTCTTCCATCCATTCTATAGCCCCTTTTGAGGTATGGCACGCTGCACCATCTTGCTGAAACACAAAATCTTGGCCGGATGTCAAACATTCTTCCATCACTGGTAAAAGCGATTCTTCTAAAATTGCCAAATATTTGTTTGTATCCACATTTCCATCAAAAGTTTTCCTACTCCTTTTGATCACATAATGCCCCAGACCATAATGGATGCTGGAAAATTAACTTTTCTCTTCAGACAGTCAACATGGAATGCTTCATTTTTTGCGAATAACTACTGCGACTGTCACCAATACAAACTTCGAATCGGGCCTCATCACTCCATTGTATTGCACACCATTGTTGAGGTGTCCATTGTCTATGTTCTTTAGCCCATCTAAGCCGATTTTTCCTTTGCAGTGGAGTTAATAGTGGCTTTTCTTTGGCCTATAAACAAGTTGTGCAGCTTTAGGGTTTTTACTTCACTTTTTTTATAAGAAAACTTACCTTGCAAGTGCTAAATCCCAGTTTGTGGGCCTCTCTATGAGTTGTGGACCTCGAAATTCTCCTTCCAACAGCGTTACTCCACAAAGCACTTAATTGTAAATAATTGGCACGCGTGTTTTTCACGATTATTCTTCTTAATGCTCTTCGATCGGCATTTGAACTGAACCAGTTACGTTATATCTTCTAACAATATTTCTCACACTATACCGCGATAAGTCTAACAAAGTTGCAATTTCTGAATTTGATTTCCCAGAATTAAAAAATTTAATCATCAGTAAAAGAATTTTCTCACTAATAACCTTTCATCTACCCATTTTGAATACCTTAACTACCCAAAACTATTTTAAACGTATTCTGACAGCTGTGATTAGTAAAAACAATTGTCATGGCCTTTATTTTTCACAGCCACCTATGCGTTATAGACTTATTTTGCATTGAAATGAAAATAGGTTGATATGCTGTAATTGCAACATGTGTTATTTTTATGCTGCAAATTTGATTAGGGAGTGATAAAGTTGGTGTTTTCTACTATATATTATCAAAATATTCATTGTTAATATTTTAAACCTATAACACCCTGCTACATTTTTATTATTTGTGTTTGATAAGAAAAAAAAAATAAGATTTCAATAGTTGGGCCAACTGAAGTGGGAAGGGGCTCGTAGTTTAGATATATTTTATTCATATAACTCTTACTTTATTTGTGTTAAAAAGTTTCGATAGAAGCCCTTTCATTTGTTATCCACATTGATTAAATCGCCATTAGGCGGTGACCGCCATATTGGATTTATTATGACGTCGCATTGCTTGCGATGTTTCTCTAACCAAGCCTGTTAATTTGATACTTTTTTCGTAGGGGTGAGGTAGATAGTATAATCGCCATCTTGCAGCTGTCGCCATATTAGATTGAGAATGACGTCACTTTCTCTATTGTGTTTCTCTCCTCGAGTTCTTTCATCTAATACCCATATCATAAGGGTCACAATGAAAATGATAAATCGCCATTTTGTAGCATCCGTCATATTGGATTCAAAATGGCGGCGGCTAATTCATTTTGTATTGCCATGCAAGCCAAACGTGTGTACAAAATTTCAGCTGAGTTGGTTAAGAATTCAGTTCCAAGATTTGTCCCACACTAGCAGGTCAATTTAAATAAGAGTTTTTAAAAATGCGTGATAAACCACAAAGAATAAAAAGCTTTCCCTTACCTTCGTTATTTTGTGCGACAACGACCACTTTCTTATCCGTAATAAACCCTTGATCATCAACAACAACTTCTTCGTAAAACTCCTGCTCCTGGACTCCATCAGCATCGTTCTCCGCGAAAGAAGTATCGTGCACTTTGGGAATAGTTTGAGCACCAACTGGAGATTGCCTCACACTCCCTTGAGGACTCAAAGCCCTTGGAGGAGCCCCAACAAACTCACTTTGCTGACAAAAAGCAGGGTTGGTGTAATAACTCTGATTTGACGTCATGACTCACATCACTTCAACGCGTCACCTTAACCAAAGGTCCCACGGACCGCACTGAGAAACACTGAACAATTGTATCACTTCTAGCGTAAATAACTGAATGAGTATACTGTGCCCCGTGGACGGCCAAAATGTGTGTGTTTCTAACGAATGTCACCGAAGAGAAGTGGTCTGGAGTAGCACGATTTTATAGAGGGGTCCCAAGGACCGCTCTGACAGACACTGATGAAATGTATGTATCACCTCAAGTGGGCATCACTTAACACTGTTTCATGAGACACGCGATGTTATCATGGGTGTCCCACGGACCGCACTGACAAAATAGCGAACTGAAACCGATATCGCTGAGCGCAGTATCCGGGGTGGTATCACTATCACTAAACAAACTGCTGATTACATTTTAACTGGAATCGACTGTGCTTGAAGACGGTGGTACCGATAAGAGCTTGAATGTTGTTTTTTTTTTGTCGCGTGTGCCTTTTGGGAATAGTCGTTACGACTTGGCGGTATATCGTCAACGACTGGTGCTCATTCGCTGATGAGTGCCGCGCGGAGCGTAACGGTAGCCAGTGGGGCCAACAGCTGCATATGCCTAACGTCATGTGTACGTGCATGGGGTAGATTGCAGAGACGTAGAAACGGGATATGGATCTATTTCTACGCTTTGCTAGCCGATAAATAAAAATGCAAATGTCGAAAAATTAATTTACTAACGTTTCGGCCTTCTTCTCCAAGTATACTTAAAAGCTTTCAAAATGTGTAAAGTCAAAAGCAAAAAATAGCCAACCTACACTGGTCGTGTACTTCAAGCTTAAAGGATCTGCAAAAAGAAAATAAGAGGAAAATTACAATGTGTAGATTGGCTCTTATTGGGGACTTCGTGTAACGTTTTGCTTTTCAGAAGTCATTCAAAACAAAGCTCATGCATCATAACTTCTTAATAATTTTACATTTCCGGACAATATAATAACGATAATTACTATATTTTGAGAGGTTATGCTGCTATCAACAGCTGTTTACAAATGGTATGAAGTCAGAGCAAGTTAATATGGACCAAACATGGCAAACAGGGATTTAAGTATAGCTAGTAGCGTTCTATTACCTTTCCTGGCAGCTTGTGACGTGTGCTCTGGCTTTTATCAAAAAAATTTGTGTATGCAATTTCGGCAAAATATTATGTTTAGTTTTTCGAATCATCGAACGTTTTATCGCAAAGTTCGTCTTCGTCTTTAGATACGAAACTGATGGGCGACGGTGAAACTGTAATCGCTCTTGTTCTAGAAAGAAGATCATTAATGCCTATTAGAAACAATGTTGGGTCTAAAACCGATTTCTGAGGAACACCTGCACTGTTATTATGTGACGAAGTGAAAATCCCCCCAACTTCGAGGTATATCTGTCTACAAAGCTTCTTTGGAAGGACAAAGCTTTTCAAGTGTCTTAGATATTATTGCTGTCTGATCCTCGAATAGATATTAGAAATTAGAACACGGATTCCATCGTAATAATTGCTTGAAGGTTTTGGTCTCCAACTTATTACTTAATAGCATTTGCTCCAACGTGGTCTGGATGTGGTAACCTCACTGCCTTTTTGGGCAAATAAATGAAGTCATGGATGTTAGAGAAAGACTTTCTCAACGTTTCGGCCAAGATTCCAAGCTCCAACGTAATCGACAATTACTTGAATGTACTTATAAAACATCGAGAGGGGAATACCCTTCATGTTACGCCTCTGAGGGGCACGCACCAACGATCTTTATACAAAAGAAACACGGCGTTGCGTCGCGGCCTTTGCTTCATACTTCCCGCGTGCTAATAAATTTCCATTAACATTACTTCCCCCACCCCACTGGGTCCACAACATCGCCCTTTGATGTTTCAACTCCCCTATGTGCCCTATGAGTCTCCCTTGTGGCACCATTAATAGAGTACATACGTCATATTTGTGCCTGTTTGCTGTCTGATAACGCGTAATGTCCTATTTGTGATGCAGAAATATAATATATTTGAGGGCATTGCTTTCTACGAATTTCGATGACGAACTAAGGTGTCTAAAACATCGTAAATGCACAGTGCGAAAACATAATTTCGAAGCTTGTTAGAGCAGCAAGCTCAAAAATTGCTTTACAATAAACTAAGCCTTCGATGACTTGTGTGGGAAGATTTGAAATTGAATTTAAATGCTTGGCAACCTCAAAAATAACAGCTTAAGCTCAGTTTTTAGGCATTGAAAATGCCCATTTTCAGGCTCCATCACCCATTAACTCAGAGACAGTCAAACTTACTAAGGACCGCTTTTATTCACAACCATCCAAGGCTATAGGCGAAAATGCCCCAAAGGTACCCAAATCTGGATCAAACTAAATTAAGGCATATTGGATCAAATCATATTGGTCAAATTTTGATGAGATTGATAGGTCCCTAATCTCGAAAGCGGGGTTTTTCGAAAAAGCATTTTTTACGGGCACAATTTCGCTCAAACATTTGTAGGAAAAGATTTGTGGAACGTATAGAGAGATAGATAAATACATTTATTGTCATGTAGATCATAAAATGACATAAGGCTCGTCCTAAGGGAGAGGTACATAGTACATATAATTAAAAATAAAAACAAAACAAACATAAGTATTTAGAAAGTACAAACAGGTTCGAAAAAAAAACTATTTTCGAATTTCTGATTAGGTAACGAACATTTCGCAAACTTAAAAATCTATCTATCAGTGCTTGAGTTTTTTTTTCAGATTTACCAACAAAATCATGAATTTTTGTGAAGAAAATCGCCAAAAATCGAAAAAACCTCATTTTCACCGATTTTTTCAATTTCAGACATTTTTAGAACAGGATACCATAACTTTGATCCGCTAATCTTAAACTCAATCCGCGCATATGTGTATGTCTAATTGTCTAAAATTGAAAAGAATAGGCGAAAATACGTTTTTTCCTTTTTTCATAACCTTCACTATTTAGGCAGTGGAATCTGCTATACTGCACAAAAATGCATATATTCGTTGAGTTTTTGAGTCATCCAAGTTATAACCTTCTACTCTAAGAATGTCAAAATTATAGAAAAACCGCTGATTTGAAGGGAACGTAAAAAATACACCCATACCGTGGGTTATGGTGTGAGCCAACTATTTCCTGACCAAAGCCGTCAAAAATTGAAGAAAATCATCAAAAATGCGGCTTACGATATTTTCACAATTTTTCTGGATACAAACTTTTGAGTGGATGGACAAAAATACATGTATATGTAAAGTTTTTGAGTTCGCGAAGTTATGATATTCCACCCTAAAAATGTCTAAACTTGTAAAATTGGTGAATATCCGGTTTTTCCGATTTTTCGCGATCTTACCTGCAAAAATTTGCGATTTCGTTGGTAGATCTGAAAATAACGCAAGACAGAGCTGATACAAAGTGAGTTTTTAATTTTGCTAAACTCTCATTACCTAACCAAAAATTCGAAAAAAAATTCAAAAACATATTTTCTTGAACCTATCAGTCCGATCGATAAAAACTACAGTTTTATAAGATCTAACGTAGCATTGCTAATTTTTTTAAACTCTTTTGCGACTGTAAGAAATGATTTTCTAAAAAACACGTTTTTGAGATTAGGGGCCCCCAGGGGTGACCTATCGATCTGGATATTTGGCAAAGCTTTTTTGACCCTATATGCGTCAGTTTGGATTGATTCTGAATTGGATGCCTTTGAGGGCAATTTTCATATGTACCTCTAGCTTTTGCGAAAGGTTTGTCTGACCCGAAAATACATTTTTTTATTTTATTATTTTTGATACTGTATAAACAAACTTACCGTCCGGCAACCTCTTGATAAATGTTAAGGGACACACAACGAACGTGGTTATGAAAAAAGAAATCGGGTTAGGAGATTTCTCTCACGAAAATGCCTCACCCAATATTCCAGCATTTGTCCAAAAATAACCTCAGGATATCGTGTAAGTCACTAATAAGTAATTGAAGCGGTCTCATTTTTTTTCAAAGCAGTTCTTAATTTTACTGGGCAGGCTAACAAGTCAAAAACTTTTTATTTTCACAGACAAATTTTCCGTCACCATGTGTTCTACCACTATTTAAATTTTCAAAGAATATCTTTCTGCATTATTGATGATCTACCTTAAGCTACTTTCACAGCTTTATTGAGCCATCTGGCCCTATAGGTAGTTCTGTCAGATTTGCGACTTGTTGATGTGGTAACTGCCTGATTTTGCTAACTCATATTATATCAGTATTTTCGAAGTTATAGAGGAATTGAAACGGTTAACGGTCGACAAACCAATGAACATTCCGAAATTGTTTTGTGTTCAAAGCGGCCTTAACAATTCACTTGGGGAGTGACGCCTTTAAACGATGTACGAGGTCTGTAAATTAGGTGATGACTCTGATTTTCACTACGCACAACCAAATGACTCGATCGAGTTCAAACGTGTGCTGAAGGTGGATCACATGTTCCCCTGGCTCCCTTCCAAGCCCAGGCCTCCAGTGTTGCCAGTCTTGTCTCTTAATTTACAAACCTCGTATTTGCTTATATTCCTATATATGTATATCTTTTCGCTAACTTCTTCATATTTGCTCCTTTTGTGGTTTGATAACAAAACTATACTGACGAATGTCATATGGCACCACACGACGATATTTGCTATTTCAGTATTTACTTTGTTGGAGTATATTTATACTTTGCAGATAGATAAAATGTATTCGATCAAGAACCCCTTCAATAATAATCAACTGTTAGCTCAGGTGTAGAATTATACAAAAATCAAATAGAATATTCACATTATGTAGACACCTTTTGCTGTTCTCGATTTATGTATAGATTGCTGAAGCACAAATTATTAAACTATCCACTGCAAATTTAGTGAATACTCATGTGTAAGATTATAGGAATAGTTTAGCCAAAAGGTTGCCTTGTTCATCAAGTTAGATCAATTGCCAAATTAAAAAAGAGTTCTGGAAGGCCTTTCAATTTTTTTAATTATAAGCAATAAGGCGGACATATACAAGGCAACAAAACGAATCCGAGTTTTCGGAATACGTGTTAATTTTTATTTAGTGAAATGCACTCAAGTAGTGTCAGTTTAATCTTTACGAAAATATTTCAGGTGTGGACCGAATAATCCAAAATGGTACTTGAATTTTGATCCGTTTTCACTCTTCAGGGTTTTAATGATCTACAGGAAACCTGACTAACACTTAATACAATCAGGATTACTGAGATATTTCGGATGGCATGTCGTTAGTAATAAGCGAAAACTGAACTTGTATTCATTGGTACTCCTAGCCAACTAGATAAAAATTCTATTTTAGAACGACAAATTAAGATTGATAACGCAATTATTTTCTTGAAAGTATATGAGAAGGTCCCTCAGCAGGAGATACAAAACATTTTGTTGGATAATATTTTTAGTAAACGTCAAAGTTGAAAAAACACTTTTCAGAAAGTTTTAAGGGATAAATAGACCTCCAAAATGAGACCTTACCCGATTGTCTATAGAGCAAAAATAGATGTACCATT